GGTTTGCTTGCTTCTATTTGAATATACCGTTACTGATTTCCTGTATTGAATTAGGTTTGTTAGTTTAGGTTCGCTTGCTTCTATTTGGAAACACCATTACTGATTTTCTGTATTGAACTAGGTTTGTTAGTATAGGTTTGCTTTCTTAAGAGCAAAGACGGCACGCACAAATTTAGTGAGTTTTGTTAGTTGGTGACTTAGCGCCTTCAAACCAAAAGTGGTACTCGAGTCGCTATCAGAGCGAATATGACGATGATGTGATGTGATATTGCGTGTGATTGTTTCGTGATTGTGTGTGATTGTTTCGTGATTGTGTGTGATTGTTTCTGATTGTTTTTCCCGGTGTACACATATTGTGTCCAGTTCCACACACCTCGCAGAATTCAGAACACAAATTGAAGAACATCTGCGCTTATGGTAGAAAAACGAAGGGGGGGGGGAGGCTTCGCCCCCTCCTGTCGGATTTGGGGGCGGGGGGAGCATTTGGCCCCCCTTGCCCCCCACTTCCACGGTCCCTGAATATTTGTGTGAGTTATGTTGTAAACAAATGACACGTCGAGAAACTTCGCGCACGTATTCTTAACACACTCGCATAAGTGAAGCAAATGTGTTTCTTTGTGGTCGAAATATTTAACATTGTACAAACATAACGTTCATAACACCCCACACTAAACAATATTTTGAACCAGCTTTTTTTACAAGAAGTGTTAAATGACATGTTCACAGGATACCTTTACGAGATTTTGGGGCTACTATTTTCTCCTTCCCAGCCAGAGTGTTTTGATTCTCTCTCATGTTACGTAAGTACTATATCTTCATGAATACGTGCTCCTGCTTTTGTCCTATGGTGAATAAGCACCGCAGGACATGTTTGATTACTAACTTGTAATGTGTATGGACATAACGTAATATTGAATATATTTTCCAGATAATGTGCTTTACAGCTGTGCAAGCTTCCCCGCCAGCTGTCTGCTCTGCCTTCATAGTTAGCAGCATGGAACCTGCAACACCAGGAACATCAAAGTTCTCCTACTTCTGTTACCGTAGTGGGCACATCTGAAACTCAAGTGTCTGAGGTGTTTGAGGTGACTTTATTTGAAGATGATGTTTACGAAGCTTTAGTTGACAATAGTGTGACTCTATTTGAAGATGATGGTTGTGAAGTCAACATTGACAATGATGTGAATGCGGCCTGAACCAACTTGCCTCACCTGGATTTTGGTTTGAGCATTTGTGGGTCATCTTCAGGCCTTAATTCCTGTTTGCAGGTATGTGTTTGCTCTTTTTCAATACTGTTGAAAATTGTTTTGTGGTATACTTATTTGAAGTTTTACATTATACAGGTTTGATGCACACCCCACCTTTTATAAGAAATCTTTTGAAAGAGTCAAAGGAGCATGAATCCAAATGTTCGATACTAAATTGCTTGTTACGCAATTTTTTTTTTTGATGAAATAAGGTTGAAGGATGCTGTCCTTACTGCTGTTACCGGTATTAGCAATTTGGTTTCTATAAAGTTTAAAATTTAGTTTGATTAGGTTGATTTAGATTGATTTTGCCAATTTCGTCTGCCAGGAGCGAGCCGCGCGGCCCGCGACGTTTGAGGCCCTGCAGACGCCCGGTCAGTTGCGATCTCGGACTCACCATGTCGGATGTGAAGTAGGACCCATATGGTCACAATTTAAACCCGAGACGTCTCCTCTGACCCCACCGTGTCAGCACGGCAGAGCCAACAAGATAGCGGGTCGCCACGCGCCAATTTCGAGCCCGCTCAGAAAATCGGTATGCGCGTCGGGTAGACGTTATCGCACAGAGCCCAAACTTTGCACAGGATCTCTACTAGGTCCAATCTTTCATTTGAGGTGCCGACCTCCAAAATCGGTGACTTCGAACACTAAATTCGAATGGCCTACGGGGACGGACCCCTTGGTTCTCGTTATGCTAATATACATATTACCTTTTTAACTGACCTTGACGGGTGTGCTGGCTTTAGATTCTATTTCCTTGACAACATCGGCCAAATCTCTGAGAAAAGATTCGATGTGGACTCTTTGCACCATCATGAAGACATAAACGTAAAGGTTTGAGGAGTAGCCGAATGCGACGGAGATACCATTAATCGAAGGCTCGTGGATGAAACCACCGATGTAGAGCAGTAATGCGAGCCCCACTGTAGAGCCCGTTGCCTAGGAGAAGAGAAAACGGCTGTGGCAAATATGTGACAAATATTAAGGAAAAATTTGCTTTCTGTCCATGAACTGACAGGGGTAGTAAGCCAAAGTGCTTTTTACCAGGGCTCCGTAACTTTTTACTTTACTGCCTGGAACGTTATTTTGGGAGTGAGAGGTACAACTTGTAGT